TTTTTTTTTTTTTTTTTTTTTTTTTTTTTTGAGACGGAGTTTCACTCATGTTACCCAGGCTGGAGTGCAATGGCGCGATCTCGGCTCACCGCAACCTCCGCCTCCTGGGTTCAGGCAATTCTCCTGCCTCAGCCTCCTGAGTAGCTGGGATTACAGGCACGCGCCACCATGCCCAGCTAATGCTTTGTATTTTTAGTAGAGATGGGGTTTCACCATGTTGACCAGGATGGTCTCGATCTCTTGACCTCGTGATCCACCCGCCTCGGCCTCCCAAAGTGCTGGGATTACAGGCTTGAGCCACCGCACCTGGCCGCAAAAACCTTTAAAATTTATTTTATACGTGTGTGTGTATATTTTTATTATTATTATTTTCTTTTTTTGAGATGGAGTTTCACTCTTTAGCCCAGGCTGGAGTGAAGTGTCAATGATCTCGGCTCACTGCAACCTCCACCCACTGGGTTTAAGCAATTCTGCTTCAGCCTCCCAAGTAGGTGGGCTTATAGATGCCCGCCACCACGCCCGGCTAATTTTTGTATTTTAGTAGAGATGGGGTTTCACCATGTTGGCCAGGCTGGTCTCAAACTCCTGACATCAGGGGATCCACCCACTTCAGCCTCCCAAAGTGCTAGGATTACAGGCATGAGCTACTGCGCCTGGCCAATTATTCCATTTTTTGAGACAGGGCCTCACTTTATTGCCAGGCTGGAGTGTAGCGGCATGATCATGGCTCAGTGTAGCCTTAACTTCTGAGTTTCAGTGATCCTCTCATCTCAGCTTCCCAAGTAGCTGGGACTACAGGCATGTGCCACCACACGTGGCCAAAAATATTTTAGAAAAACATTGAAGACATGATATATGAAAAACGCAAGACAAGAAAAATTCCATGTATTTTGATCCAAACTTTCTAAAGAAACATATTTATATGATTATTTATTGTGTAATACAATACATATCATAATACTATATATCTACACACAGGAAGAAGAAAATGGAAAGATAGATACACATCACCAGATATAAGCACTATTTCAATTTCCTTCTCTGCGCCTTTTTGCAATAAATAAACAAATATTCACCTGCCTGCATGGGTCTAATAAACATTGCAGCAGCAGGGATGTGGACCAGGCACCCTCACGGCTCCCTCCCCATCTGCGGGAACAGCGTTTCTGTAGAAACCCCAAGCCAAGAGGAGGCTAAGTATCTAAGTGAAAGCCCGGGTCTTAACCATAACAGGCAGTGAGTGGAATGCTCTGGATTTCAAAACATTTTCTTGTCAGCTCATTTTTCCATCAAGAATTCTAAAATTCCACAGAATGGTTTACACAAAAATGACGAGCCTCGCTGGGCCAGGAGTAAGAAGGACTGGCAAGGAGGCGGGGAGAGGGTGATCCTGCTTCTGCGTCGGGGAGGGATTCCAGAATTCCTGGAGAATGCTGTCACCAGAAAGGGGGAAACCACACACCAGCAGCGCTAGAGGGGATGGAAGAATAAATCCATTCTTCTCATTGTACAGAGGGGGAACAGAGGCCCAGGGAGGGAGAGTGACTTGTCCAAGGCCACACAGCAAGTGTAAACAGAATTGAACCTAGGATTAATTCATGGGAGGGACCAGTTTCTTATTCCTTTGCGTTCTGCCCAGCCCAGCCGAGCCCAGCAGAAAACAGTTACACTCATAGTCCAGGTGTCTAAAGGATGACCCGAGGGCATGGGGGCGCTAGAATGAAAGCTAAAATCAGAAGACATGAAGATGGGGACAGGCCAGACTCAAACCTGTAATCCCAGCACTTTCGGAGGCTGAGGTGGGAGAATCGCTTGAGGCCAGGAGTTTGAGACCAGCCTGTGTAACAGTGAGACATCATCTCTTAAAAAAAAGAAGAAAAGAATATGGGCAGCACTGAGTAGAAAATATGGCTGACCACAGACGCTCATGCAGTCCAGCAGTTTCCCAAACGCAGCAGAGTCAGCTTCGTCTGGAGCCTTTTAGGTTCCACTTTGTCGCTTCAGAACCATAGAAATGGGACCCTGGCTTTTTTTTTTTTTTTTTTTTTTGGCAGAGTTTTGCTCTTGTTGCCCAGGCTGGACTGCAGTGGTGATCTCGGTTCAACTGAACTTCTGCCTCCCGGGTTCAAGCGATTCTCCTCCCTCAGCCTCCCAAGTAGCTGGGATTACAGGCGCCCACCACTACACCCTGCTAATTGTGTATTTTTAGTAGAGACAGGGTTCCTCCATGTTGGTCAGGCTGGTCTTGAACTCCCAACCTCAGGTGATCTGCCCACCTTGGCCTCCCAAAGTGCTGGGATTACAGGTGTGAGCCACTGCACCCAGCCTGGGTTTTTTAAAGGCTCTTCATACTATACTCGAGAGATGCTTTAGGAAGAAAGTTTCTACCCTCAGCCCTGATCCCCAACACAGCCACAGAAAGCCCAGTAACCTCTGGCTGCTCAGGTTTCTGGGGTTAAAGTGGGAATGAACCACAAAGCCACAGGAAGAGGGGAGGAGAGACCATGGGACCCACAGGCTCCGCAGTGCCGGGCCACTCCCCCACGCTGGGCAAGCGGGCCTACTTCACACCGTTCCTCGCAGCCTTTAAACCACTCAAGAGAGAGCTCATCACTGCTCCTCCACTTGTGCAGAAAAAATAAATAAACCTCTTGAGGAGCCGACAGTCTGCTGAGGAGAAATGGCTCACCTCCAGCTGGGTTCCAGACACCACCCGGCGTGGTCTGCGGAGAGGAGCCCAGTGAGGACAAGCACAGAAGAGGCTGTGTGTCCACCTCCACAGTGTCCGGGTGCCAAAAGCACCCCTCATTCTGAGGTTTCACCCTTCCTCATTTGTGGGGTGGCTGTGGGGGGGCCGTTAAAGCAGCCTTTTTCTTAAGACAGGGTCTTGCTCTGTTGATCAGGCTGGAGAGCAGGGGTGCCATCATAGTTCACTGCACCCTGCAACTGCTGGGCTCAGGCGATCCTCCTGCCTCAGCCTCCTGATTAGCTAGAACTACAGGTGTGCACTGCTATGCCCGACTAATTTTTTTTTTTAACTTTTTTTGGTAGAGACAGGGTCTCCTTATGGTGCCCAGCTGGTATCTATCTCCTGGGCTCAGGCAATCCTTCCCCCTCAGCCTTCCCAAGTGCTGGGATGAGAGGCCTGAGCTACCACGCCTGGCCAAGCATCCTTTCTTTCGTGAAATTATGGTGATAATAAATGCTAATAGCTATTTTTCACTTACTTATTTAATTTTATGTCCTTCCTTACCAAAATTAAAAGCTGGCAACTGGCTGGGTGCAGTGGCTCATGCCTGTAATCCCAGCACTTTGGGAGGCTGAGGTGGGTGGATCACCTGAGGTTGGGAGCTCGAGAGCAGCCTGACCAACGTGGAGAAACCCCATCTCCACTAAAAATACAAAATTAGCTGGGTGTGGTGGCGCATGCCTGTTATCCCAGCTACTCAGGAGGCTGAGGCAGGAGAATCACTTGAACCCGGGAGGCAGAGGGTACAGTGAGCCCAGATGGCACCACTGCACTCCAGCCTGGTAGACAGAAAGAGACTCGGTGTCAAAAAAAAAAAAAAAAAAAAAAAAAGCTGGTAATCTTAACTGGTCCCCAGAATTGTTTTCAAAATTTTACAGACCCATGAAATCCCAACATTTAGGAATCACCCAGTTGTGCACAGGAACGTCAGGCAGGTGGGCAAAGGCAGGACGCGGGAGGAGGCTCACGGAGAGGGACATGAAAAGTGAAGCGCACCAGGACGGCTGACTGCCAGATGCTACTGAGATGCGGTGAGTGGTGAGAACCCAAACCAAGGCACAGCATTTGGCGCAGGCTCAATGTGCAGGCTCCTGGCTGGGTAGCTGGGTGGGTGGGGTGTCCCCTTGACAAGTTGGGCAGGGAGGTCTTTGAGGGACGTGGTATGTTTGGTTTGGGTCATGCTGAGCACCTGGCACAGGAGGGAGGCTCTGGCCAGAAGTCAGGGCTGATTGGAAGATGTGAATCCAGAGGTCAAGAAACAGGCTTGGCAGGGGACACTGGTGAAAGGCAGTCACGCTGGCATTGACCGAACCCTTGTCATGGGCCAGGCTCTGTGCTAATTGCCTCTCGCCTCATTGAAGCCTCACAACCCAGCGAGGCTGGATTTGGGTTTTCTGAGGCAGGTAGTATTATTCCCACTTGACAAATAAGTAAACTGAGTCTCGGTGAGGTACTTCCCCAGGTTCATGCCAGACAAGGGCAAGGGCAGCAACTAGACCCAACGCTGCCTGCCTCCAGAGCCAGTACTCTGCACAAAGTGGCAGGTGACGCAGTGGAAATGGGCGGGGTCCCCAATGGAATGTTCTAGAAAGCTGCAGAAAACAGGGCAGAGAAGAAATTCGGGATGCCACACAGAGAAGTGAACAGGGAAAAATCTCTCCAGAAATGTGTGACCAAGGCTCTTTAACCCCAGAATGTCCCACTTGAGAGTGCTGCAGAGAGGAACAAAACGAATTCCTCCAGAATGCACGGCCAAAGAGTTTAAGAAGATAACATATAGCGGAGGGGCCACCGCCCAGCCCTGGCTTCACAGGCAAATACAAACCTTTGGCAGCCCTCCTCCACCAGCTGTGATTCCCACGCTTGGGGAACAAGAGAGGGAGTTAAACGATTATTTGTGAGGAGCAAGGAATAATTAATGGGCTTTTCCCAGGCACTTTGCCCACGCCCCCTGAAAAGGGGCTCCAACCTGGCACAGTGGCTCATGCCTATAAATCCCAGAGCTTTGGGAGGCCGAGGCAGGAGGATCACTCAAGGCCTATGCAACATAGGTAACCTCATCTCTACAAAATGTTTTTTTAAAAAATTAGCCAGGTTGGTCCGATGGTAGTGGGTTATCAGAACTT